AGCAGTAAGTTAAAGAGTAGCATCTTTCCTTTTAAGATTAATCACATATATCTGTGTGACCATAAGAGGTCATTGCTTCCTATTCATGCATGGCAAGAAACCTCCCAAAAACATAACTTAATGCTTTCTGTTGTTTGAAAGCATAGAGATCAACCAAGAAATTCAACCAATGCTTACTGCCAAGAATATTACCATAGAGATCAATCAATGCCAATGTTGTCCGAAATAACATCACACGATTTCCTTCAAATAGAAGCACATCCCAGACCCGGAGAACTAAATCCAATAAAAACATCAAAGACATGACTTTAGATTAGCAATCTACAAGTGATGGACATAATTACATAGCTGGAAAATCATGCACAGAAACTTAAAGATATGCAGACTACTTTAAATGGATTCTCAACAAACATTTGAGAAGCATTGGGTCTCAACACTTATGAATGAATAATGAGATGAAACTTTGAAATATCAACTTCGTAGTTTATCTTTCACAATTATATAGAAAGCATCATAGATTTAGATAATCAATTAACGATTAGCTAATGGAGAATGAACCAGACCACTTTCCCAAGGAAGCATGTTCATGAATATAGAGAGGAACCATGGCCCTGTTACCCATGCCACTTGTACTCCCAGGTAATCCAGATGATTAACTGCAACTAATGCATGGACGCAAGAAACAAAGACATTAACAGATTAGAATTTAGATAGATGTAAGAGCAGAATTGTACAAACAACCGACATCAACAGATATACCTAATTTGGGAAATTTTTCCCGCACCAGTTCTTATTCCCTTTCCATACCACATTGCCTGTAATCAAAGAAAATGAATTCATATTGGAAACAAACCCCCCACCTTCTACTTTTTGGGATTCTCTCTTTTTCTAATTGGATAAGCGTGCAAGTCACATTTTCATCTCTTTTTCATTTCACATTAAAAAAAACAAAAAAGATATACACAATAATGCCATAATACAATTAATAATTACACATACTATCATCAAATAAAATACACTGATATCCATGTCAAATAAACAGTTAATAAATTACAATTAACTGTTAGCTGGAGCAGTCCAAAAAAATCAAATAAAATCAAATAAAAATGAAAAATCAAATATATATGCCAAAAGAAATGAACAAATAAACTCACCTTTATCAATGTCAAATGTAATTCCCACTCGATTAAAAACTAAGGAAGCCTAAACATGAAAACAATGGATATCATTGGAAATATACTTTAATCCGAAAACATTCAAAAGAAAATTAAATAAAAGTGAAATCAACTAAAATATACCTAAACGTAATTGACCTTTGTCTATGTGATGCGGCCGGAGCAGTCCACGGCGAGCCGGAGCAGTCCACGGCGAGCCGGAGCAGTCCACGGCGAGCCGGAGCAGTCCACGGCGGGCTGGAGACGACGGCAGCGACCAGTCGACGGCGAGAGAGCAGGGCCGGAGAAGTCAAGTCGACGGTGAAGATTTGCAGCGCCTGAGAGGAAGAAGACGACGGCTATTGTACGGAGGCAGCAATGGAGCAGCTTGCGACGGTGAAGATTTGGTCCTCTAGCTGGTATGCGCGGCTGCTCAATCGACGCGTGAGATAGCCTTGGTCGGTCCGCTGGTCCTCTGTTTTTTCGATCGAAATTGGCGTGTAGGGGCGACTTAGGGTTAGAGTTGGAGGAGGCGCTTGCTTTTCATAAAGCGCCGCACGCTTGATTTAATTTTTAAAAAACAACGGCGCTTCCGACTTAAACGCCGCACGCATGTAAAAACACAAATCGGGAATCAAAATGGAGGCGCTTATTAGAAGAAAGCGCCGCACGGTACATTATTTTTTTTTAAAAAAACTGTTTCAGAAACAAAATGGAGGCGTTTTTCACCCAAAAACGCCGCACACATTCAAAAAAAATAAAAAAATTAATACATTCGGCTAACAGAGGCGCTTGTGCTAAAAAGCGCCTCAAATGAAGCGCCTCTATTTGACGTTTTTCCACTAGTGTATAGTAAGGGTAGAATTGAAATATAGAGTATACTTTAGTTCTAGTTTGGGAAGATAAACAATATGATATGTTTTTACTTAGTATTGTTTCGAGTCACAAACCAGACCAAACTAAACTTAAAGAGATCAGACCAGATCGGTTTTTAACATATCAGACCAGACTTCCGTAATTATAAAATACAAAGAGGGCAGACATTTACCATACCAAACTTAAACAGATTAGACTAGACTTAAAATTATACTATCTCCCTCCCTTAAAACTTTGCCAAGTTTGACCGGCACGGAGATTTATAAAGTAAAAACTGTGTGGTTGAGGTTTGTAGAGAGGAGAGGGAATTAACTGGAACCACAAATTCTTTACTAAAAAGAGAAAGTGTCAAAGTTAGTGGGACATCGAAAAAAGGAAAGTTAGCAAAGTTTTAAGGGACGTAGAGAGTAAATAATATTGAAATAATATTGAAATATGTTTTGAACCTTTCACAAATACTTCGTAGTTTATTATTAGTATAATACTCCTATACTAACATGAATAAAAAATACTTGTAGTTATAATCACAAATTTATTTATTTATATTTAAAAGTAAGTGTATGGCGGAGGGGTTGAAATACTTCGTATAAAGATGTTTGGAGCCATATTATTTAATAAAAACCATTTAGTTGAGTTGGTACTGGAACCAATTGCTCTATGTGATGTCAAGGGTTTGATTCCCTTAGGGTTGGTTTGCAACTGCTTTTAAAAAATCACTTCTCAGCTTTTGGCTTTAAAAAAGCACTTATTTTCCCAAACACTGCAACTTTAATTTTTTTCGGCTTCCGCGTCAAAACTCAAAAGTGCTTTTACTTTTTCTATTACACAAAAAGCACTTATTTTACCAAACACTGCCCACTTTTACTTTTCAAAATCACTTTTTTCTCAAACACTATCAACTTTTATTTAAGGAGTGTTTGGGTTTGCTTAAAAAAAGCACTTTTCAGCTTTTGGCTTAAAAAAAGTTGAAAAGAGTGTTTTCAAATGACAGCTTCTGCTTAAATTAATCACTTAAAAGCTAAAAGCTGGAAGCAGGTAGAAGGGTGCTTTAAACTGCTTCTCATTTTTTCTATTACACAAAAAGTACTTATTTTACCAAACACTACCAACTTTTACTTTTCCAGAATCACTTTTTTCTCAAACACTACCAACTTTTACTATTAATCACTTTTCCCAAAATCACTTTAAAAAATCACTTTTTTAAATTTGAAGCAATTGCAAACACTCCCTTAATCACTTCTCCCCATTTCATTAAAAAAAGCACTTTTTTAAAAGCTGAAGCTGTTGCAAACAGGCCCTTAGACATCGAGTTTTTTACTAAAATTTTGTTTGCATACCAGTGGGGGATGGCAATATATATACGTGGCCTGCTACTCCCATATTAAATAAGAACATCTCCAGTGCTACAATGTGCACGGTGCACATGTGGCATGAGAGAGATAGAAACAAAATATTGATTTTATGACATTTCTATCTCCTTCTTTCAACGGTCTTATGCGTTTTTGGTAAGTTTGTGTCTGCAATGTCAACCACAATGTCTACATCTAGACATTGTGAAGAAAAACTTACCAAAATGATGTAAGATCCTTTAAATGAGGAGAGAGAGATTATATTTATTGATTTTTTATTGGTTGTTTCTCATACCACGTATGCACCGTTAATATTTTAGCATTGAAGATGCTCTAAGGTATACTCCTTATGATAGTAAAAAAGAAAAATAAAAATAAATATGATAGAGAAAAAGTAAAAGATGGCATGCTATTAAAGGTTACCACCGGGTATTTGGGTCTATTTGATTGTTTTTTATAGTAAATGTGTCTATATGATGCTTTTTATAGTATATGGGCCTAACTGACCGTTCAACAATTGTACATGGGTATATTTGACCCTTTTTCCGTTAATTAATGAATCAAACCTTATTGTTCAATTCCAGAAGTTACGAGCCCGTTTGGTAGCACCAAAATCGGCTGTTTTGGCTGATTCTGCTGAAATTTATGATATTCTGGCTGGAGTGGCTGTTTTGGCTGATTCTGCTGATTTAAGAAAAAAATATTTTAAAAATATATTTTATTAATAAATTAAAGAAAAAATTATATGTAAAAATAGCTAAAATGGTCCTCTACAGTAACTTCAGCCAATACAGCCAGAAAAGTAACTCCAACCTTACTTTTTCGGCTTATTACACAATTCAGCGCGCGAAAGTAAAAGTTACGTGTTTGGTGAAAAAGCTGGCTGATAAGCCTGATAAGCCGAAAACAGAGTTCTCCAAACGGGCTCTACATCTCCTTGTTCCTAAGTTACATTTGAATAGGCTTAAGTTACAATCACAAATTACATCAGATTTTTTCCCAAGTTACATTTAAATCAAAACAGTTTACATTTCAATGAGTGTAATTTACATCTTGATAAACTTGAAGTTACATGTGGATTCACACGAGTTACATTCCATATAGGCACTGCCTCCGAGCACTTTCATTATATAAGTATGTTAAAACTCTTACGAGTATAAATTTTGGGTTCAGATTGAAATAGATAATGTCAGCAAGCACTCAAATTCGAAATGCTTAATGATCATATTGATAATAATAGGCCGCGACAAATTGGCTTGATGATAGCAGTGGCCACAGGCCCACAAATAACTTTTTATGTTACGTAATACTCCGTAACAGTTAACTGATTAGGCGTTAACATAATAACAATGCTATCACAGAATTTTGAAAACCTGGAACAAAAATTGGGTTTTTTACAAGAATATTACTAAAATAAAACTTATTTACATAAATATAAATATTCATTACTATAAGGTGGTGTTGTAGTAGCTTAAGTTCAAAACTTTAACATTAATTACTATGATTTCATTACTACTCTAGTAACTAATCATATTTTTGTAAACCATCTTTATTTTGGTCATATTCATGTAATTATTTCTAAAAAAAATTCTAGACAAAATTAAAAATAGTTAATTAAAGGTTTAACTTAACTTTTTGGGGAAGCTAAATTGGCAAAAACAAAAGGTTACATCTTTATATTGATGTTATGCTTATTTTTATATCACATTTCACAAATGCATATTTTATGGGACATCCCGAACCGTCCCGGTTTTTCTCGGGTTGTCCCGGTCCCGTTTTAAATGGGACAACATTGGGCTAAAGACTTATCCCGTACCGAACCGGACCGTTGTTATAAAACCGGGACGGAATTGGAATAAACCAAATCCCGGACCATCCCAGACCGTGCCGACCCCTAATTTACACATTATAATATAATGATTCTTTGACGTTACTGTTGATGTAAATAAACAGCATCGTATTACTATATTAAATTGCATCCCACAAGTGACAATCTAGTATGAAATAAACCACTATTGCATCCGAGTCGGTGCGAACCATTCTCAATTTCTCATTTATACTCCATCTTCTCATTTAAACTTTTGGTGTCCGCCAATCGCTGTAAGACATGACAATCGTGGAAGCCTATTTATTGTGTTTATTGATAGAAGTAGATGGGCGGATAAAGCTTTATTCATAGGAATGATTACATAAACATATCTGATGATGAACGGACGTGGAAGCCATGTCATAGGCCGCCAGTTTTATTATAGTATTTTGCAATACACTGATGATTTATTTATTCACTCCGTGGAAACAGGAACGGATTAAGATGGAATTAAGAAGCGGCGGTGGAGGCGGCGGCATCAGTGGGCTCGGCATCATCTTGGCCGTCGTCATCGACGTACTTGGAATCGAGGGACGCGGGCACCGGCTCGGTTTCAGCGATCAATTGGCTCAGACCATCCAAGCTCACCCTTGCCACTAGTTGCGGCGAACTGCCTGAGCCCAATGCCATACTGGACAAGCATCCGTTCCAAGTTGTGGTGTGATTGTTGAGGTTCCTTTCCATCGCATTATCTATGGTATTCCAGTTCACCGAGTTGAACCCTCTCAACGCACGGATCTCCGTATAAACCTGCGCCCATATCATATTATAAATGAATCAAATTAATAGACTCTTAACAAGATTTTCACAAGTGTTAAACGAGTGTTAATTAAGTCACCGCGATTTGATTCTGATATATCTAGAAATTCAATTCTAAAATATCAATTTGATAGGATTAGTGTGTTTTTACTTGGACTGTAATTTGCTGGTTTGGTCTAGTATGAAATGGTCTGATTTCTTTATATTTTTATAAGTACTCAAGTCTGACATGATCTGACATAGATTATAGTTGAAGTAAAAACATCTCAGTAACTAAAGTCTTACCCAATGAATGTTTTATTGTTATATAACGGGTGCATTTATGTATGTGATTAGTTGGCTAATAATTGAAGCTGGCTACTTACGCGGTTCTGGAAGTGACGGCGAGGAGTGTTCCAAGCAAGCAACCAATCACAAGCAACTCCAGCGTGATTGAAGCCGGAGAAGATGAGGGCGGCCTTGGAAGGGCCCATGAGGCGGTCGCGGACGTGGAGGAAGGCGCCCCACTGGCCGTTCTGGACGAGGTGGGGGACCGGGTAGCGCCACACGCTGCCCTCCCAGGAGTGGTAGCTGACGAAGGAGAGGTCGCCGCCGGTGGCGTTGAAGAAGGTGACGAGCGTGGTGGTGCCGGTGCCGTAGGCGTCCTTGAGGTTGTGGACGTAGGTGCTGGCGTTGTCCGCCCGGTTGTTCGCGTTCATGTCCCGGAGCGCCACCTGCGCTCTCAGCGTCGCCGTTATTTCTTCCGGCCGCAGGTTCGGGTACACCAGCCGAACCGTCGCGTCTGTCACCGGCGTTCCGAACACGTTGGTTGCCATGATCTATCGATGTAGCTACTACGTAGTAGTGGAGTATAATTATCAATAATAATGCACAGCTGTATATATGGTATCTGGCTGTTCAATTTATAGACCTCCTCTCCCCACCATCATCATTCATCATACTCCGTATACTATCGTATATTATTACACCCTCATCCTCTGAAATCTGTCTATTTCACAATTCCACGCCGGCGACATTTACGGCCATCAAGTGTAATTTCCATGGAAAAGATTTTAAATTACAAAGATTTATAATTACTTACATGATCAAATCTGTAACTTATAAAGTTACAAGATTAATAATGACAAATATAGTCGAAACTTACAGAATTAAATTACACAACACCCACACGTACAATAAAAGATTTCAATTTCACTTTTTACAAAATGTTTTCAGTCAGTATATGTATTACGGAGTACATCACTCGATAATGCGACAACAATGCAATAATTTGGTAACCTAAACAGTAAACCAGCCCTCAACCCGATCAATTTGTCCAGTTCACTCTCTTAACCGTTAAAGAGTTTCAAAATTGCGAAAAGTTTAAAAGGAATATAAGAATAGAATATATATATATATATAGATTTAGGTTCATGTGAGAACTTAATCTTAGGAGAGGGAAAAAGAATAAATAACAATCGTTAGATTAATCTAGTTTTAGGAAGAATCACGGAAACACTCTTTGGACTAATATGACATTTTACTATGTTTCCTTATTTTACTCACTCATTGCATCCGTATTACTTCTTCCTATTTTAGTGATGCATTTAATTCTCTGTTCTTATCCATTAGGTAGGATTTATCCTTTTAAATTATTATTCTTTTGTTTTATTTCTTTCTTTCTACTTTTTTACGTATTATAATTCTTATAATCCATTAATTAATAGCAATATAAAGTACTATGAGTGCATTTCATTTTCTATTAAATATTGTGCACTTTTAACAACCTTTTATTGCACATGTTTAAACACGTAAGGTCCATCTTCTCATTTTTAGTTTACTGTAGTATTTTTTAGCTTGTGTATTTGTGTGAATGCTTCTTTCATGTTTTATGATAGTCATGCACAAATATATGAGATTAATTGCTACATAAACATTTGCATATAAATGCATTTTAATGGAATAACATGTGCATGTCATGAGAGAAAAAGTGCATGTTCATGAGACAAAAAAAAATTATTTACAAAAATGTATGATATATTACTTGATGCACTTATATGCTCATCACATTGCATTTCATGAAGGTGCAAAGGGAACATAGTCCTATGCGAATAACATGTTCATCATTGCACTTTAAAATTCCTGTGGTGCACAATTGTAAATATATTATATTTTAATAGAATAGCATAAAGTAAATTAAACACCAGTGCACTAGTCTATTAGTGCATAAAACTAAAGTGAACGATATAAATTATACATGGGAACATGAAATTAATTAATCGTAATTGAAATTTTGAATTAAAGTGCATTCTCTCAATGTTAAAGTGCATATTGACGAAAGTGATTTCATTAAGAAAGGATTTCGTATAAAAAGTAGATTAATTAAACGTAAATAATAGGATGCAAATTGAAAAAAGAAAAGTTTTAATGGATGGAAATATTTATGGAGATAAGAAATGCTTATCCTATTTCTTAGGAAAACTTCCGAATATAGTGGCACGTGTGAAATCATATTTGAATTTATTTGACATCAATGCCCCTCCTAATTAATGAAATAAGGTCTTTCCTTGTATCATGTACGTTTTTTTATTCACAAATTTGGTCATCCCAGCCGCACGATTGAGAGAATGGAGGGTCCGATCTTGTTCTTTTTTCCTCTCCTAAGAGGGTGTTCTCACCTGAACCGTTCCATATATATATATATATATATATATATATATATATATATATATATATATATATATATAGTGCCACAGTTCACATCAGGAACTCCTGAAGAGAAGCCCCGTGCGGACAAGCCCATCAAAGGGTCTTCCAGGTGGAATTTTTTAAGGAAAATTTTTGAGCATGTTCCACATCAAGTCTAGTTTGTCCATACCAAATTTCAGCTCAAAATTCCATCGGGAAGGCATTCAAATAAATCCTGAAAAAATATGGTGCATTCTGCGCACATATAATGTGCACTATGTTTCCAGGATTTATTTGACTGTCTTCCCGATGGAATTTTGAGCTGAAATTTAGTATGGACAAACTAGACTTGATGAGGAATATGCTCAAAAAATTTCATCAAAAAATTCCACAGGGAAAACCCTCTTATGGTCTTGTCCGAACGGAGCTTCTCTTCAGGAGCTTCTCTTCAGGAGCTCCTGATAGGAACGGGACACACACACACACACACACACACACACACACACACACACACACACTTCTAAAAATCATTCTATGCGCCCGACTAGTCCCCGCCTAGGCGCTAGGCGGTGGTCGGGCGCCCCGATTTTCGTCTAGACGCTCCGACTAATTGGTTTGCCGTCTAGGCGAATTAGCTGACCGCTTATGGCGCCTAGTTGCCCGCCTAGAGCGCCTTATCAGCCGCCTAGACCGTCTAAATTTGCCGAACAATACTTTACTTTTAAATTTTAATTTTCTAAGCGATATACATACTTTAACTTTAGCCATGAATATAAAGAAATAAAGTTTTAAATTAAGATAAAACTATATATGTTTGTATATATACCTAAATTTTATCATTAATTATATTTATACCATAATGAAGTTAAGTGATTAGTTATCATCATATACTGCGTATGATTAAATGTGAGAATTCTATCTTTCATGTTTGTTAATGTATATGTATATGTATTTTATACACACAAAAATACAATATTACTTATCATATTTATGCAAAAATATAGATAAAAATTCAATTTCTATGTCTCCGACTAGTCCCCGGCTAGGCGCTAGGCGTTGGGCTGGCGCCCGACTAGCGCCTAGCGCCATTTAGAACATTATATATATATATATATATATATATATATATATATATATATATATATATATATAGAGAGAGAGAGAGAGAGAGAGAGAGAGAGAGAGAGAGTAATCTTCCGGTCAGGAAATTCCTGACTAGAGCACCGTCCGGCCTCCTCCTTTAATTTGGGGAGCCTTCCCGGTGGTATTTTTTGCTCAAATGTTTTGTGTATATGATACTCATCAAGTCTAGTTCATCCATACTAAATTTCAGCCAAAAATTCAATCGGGAAGGTCATCAAATGATTTTTGCAAGTTAACTGGTCCGGAATATGTATTTTTACAAAGTAAGAGGTAAATTGATTGTATAATTTAGTGTCAACAAACATTTATATTTTGGATTCACTTTACATCATCTAAAAACTGTTTCACTATTGTTTCATAGATAATAAACTTTAACTTATTTTAGCATTAATATAAATATAATATGCACCATATATACATGAATTAACAATACTACGTATCATATTATTCTAAAACTAATAATCTCATACATACTATTGTAATACTAAGAAAACTCCTCGTGATCCATGAATACCCTCCTTCGTAGACAAAAATTGCAATTCAAAAATTGATTCTTTATTCTGATAAAATTCGTGTAGTTAAACAAAGCAAAAATTATTTAAAAAGCATCGGTCCTTGTGTACCCTTTAAACTCTTTACCTTAAAATAATTTGATAAAATGTTATATCCTTTCTTCTTTTCAAATGATTTTCTAGAGCACTAACAATTATTAAGTCAAAGTTATTTTTTCATTGTCTAAAATTAGAATGTAAATATGTAATATAATAGATTTAAATGTCATCGTGTATTTACTAATTGATTTTTTTGAACAAAAATTAGCCACAGAGTCCTACATTAGCAAAACAAATTCGCCCCGCTACACTAGCCAAATTTATTTCGCCCTATTACACTATTGGAAAAATTTTCACCTCATACACTAACAAAAAACATTTCGCCCCCCATGACTCGAAATCCTGGATCCGTCCCTGGGTCCAAGTGGACTACATCCCACACTTATGACATTTCCCTCATGGGAGGTCAGATTTTGGCTTAAAGGCATCTACGGGATGAATTTGAGAGGAATTTATCAATAATAATCTTTATCCCTTGGCTAGCTTTAGCGCTTGAGCAATTAGTGTTTCATATTACTAGCAAAAAAATCTGAATTTATTCACCTCCCTAAATTTAATATAGAAAAATTGACCTCCGTATAGGACTAAATTAATAGTCAAATGCTCAAATATAGGAGCCGTGAAATTATATTCCCTAAATGGGACCATTATTCCAAAATTACCCCCTACGTGTAGCATTATCCTCCACCCAGACCTTTCCCCCTTCTCCACACATTATCCATCCATCTTCTCGTCCTCTCATCTTCTTCGATTGTCAACCTGCAACAACGAGCCCTTCTGGCGGCGACGAGTGGTGGCGACGAGTGGCGGCGGCCAGTGGCGGCGGAGTAAAGTTACACATTCTTCTTCCTCCTTCTCATCTTCTTTGTATGTCTCTTTCTAGCATTTTGTTTGGTTGAAGGTTTGATATCCATCTTCTTCTTTGGTGGTTAAAATTGCCATTTTTTCCCTAGAAATGCCATCAAAAAGGCATTTTTGTTCTTCAAAAACGTTCTATTTTCCTTCGAAAAAGTCATTATTATGGCATTTCTTGATTCATGTTGGCATTCTACTAAAAAACCGATGACATCGGCGATGGTGGTCGGAACTGCAGTCGCAGTGGCCGGATATGTGGAGGTGGCTGTCGGATTTGCAAGAGCGGCAGTTGGTGGCGGGCGGCGGCCAAATCTGTATAGATCTGAGGCGGCGGCGGCTGGATCTACAATGGCAGCTACTAGATCTGCAGAGGTGGCTAGTTTTGATGAAGCAGCAGCGTCTTGCGGCGGTCTGCAGCGGTCTGCGGCCGGCTGGGGTCTGTCCGGCGATTTGTCAGCAAGATTATGTTTTCAGCGAGATTATGTTTTGTCAAGGTTTAGGGATATTTTTGTCTAACTACATAAAATAACTCCTATTTGGGGAATTTTTAAACTTTAGTCCTATTTTGACAATTAAGTATCTAGTTACTCCTATTTGGGTAAATCCCCCTCTAATATAACCGTCAAACAGAGTTTTCAGGTCTACAATTACTACATGTTTAAGCTAGACTCATCAAGTTTAAAGGTTGATTCATTGTAGGGCTGGATAAAATAGTTTGATTCAATTCATATGAATTAAATTAAATACAAATTGGTAGTTTGGTGTAGCTGAATTCACCGAAGTAAAAGATTTGATAACAATATGTTCAAACCAAATGCTTGGGCTTGGTTTGGTTTGATTTTAAATAAAAATGAAAAATAATTTACGAAAAAGAATTTGTATTCGTCTCCCCTCTTCATATTTGTATTCGTCTCCCCTCTTCATATTTAGAATATATATATAAATAACTTTTTCAAATTTACGAGAAGATGCAATTTTGGGTAAAAACTTTTTCATGTCATCAGTCTTAGTGGACGATTAGGTGTTGCATTATAGAATTTTATTATTTCTTTTTCTACCTTGTAT